ACTTGCACAGAGACCTTTGTCTCAGAGTCTGCTTCCGGGAGAAGCCTAACCTATAACAGTGATGTATAATAATAACAAGTAGCTACATTCATCAGGAGGGTGCTAATTGAATCCTCATACTAACCCATTTGAAGATGGGGAAACAGGCATGGCTTGGTGAATTTGCCTAAGATAAGTCACACAGCTCATAAATAGACCCGCTGTCTGCCACCACTTAGCACTGAGCAAAGACTCAGGGAAACGCGATCTGATTGGGAAACTAGGCATAGGATAGTAATAGAAAATAAGGTTAAGTGCTCAGTGTTTTAAATTTAATTACTGGGGCTTCAAGGGGCCTTTTAGCGATGTCTCCTATCCTGCGATTACAAAAGGTGTTTGTTTTTAAAGCAGCTGCTTGCGTTGGGGGTATGGAATTGTGTGTCTGCCTACTTTGGTCTTTTGCACTTCAATATTTCCCCCAAAGTTAGGGAAGTGCGGCGAGGAGCGAGGCCTGCCCACCTTTCTAAGGTGCCGTCATCCTGGTCTCTCATGTGGATGTGCGTGATTCTAGGCAGAGTCCACAGGGGAGGGGACCTTTATAGGGTCCCCTCTCCTGGGGTTCTTATCCCCCGGAAATCCAAGGTGAGGTGACATAAGAGGCCTGTGCCTGATCCCAGGCAGGGTGCTTGAAAGCTATGCAGCAAATGGGCCGCAGTAAGTGAATAAAAGTATGTGTGTGCACGAAAGGGCTCCTGCTAAATGTGGAATCTTCTATCAAACTTTTCTAGTGACTTAGAAAATAAGCTCGGGTAGTTCTGTCTCCGAATCTACACTCTTTGTCATTCTTAAGGGAGGGTGTGTGTTAGCATGGCTGCTTCTCCGATGATGTGCAGGGAATATCAAAGCAACTCCTGAACTCCTTTAAAACAGCAGCAGTTGCCCTAACTGGTTTTGGTTCAGTGAATAGAGCATCAGCCTGTGGCCTGAAGGGTCCCAGGTTCGATTCTCAGTAAGGGCATGTGCTGGCTGGGTTGTGGGCTCCATCCCCAGAAGGGGGCGAGCAGGAGGCAGCTGATCAATGGCTCTCTCTCATCATTGATGTTTCTCTTTCCCTCTCCCTTTCCCTTCCTCTCTGAAATCAATAAAAATATGTATTTTTTAAAAACCACAACAAATAGCAGCAGTTAGGTGCACTTTGTCTTTTTCCCCCTCTGAGCCTAAAAACTCTGCCTGGCCCAATAGATGGTCACTATGTTACTTTGTTGTCTCATCATATTACAGAGAGTAAGAGAGAGCGAGAGAGAGCTAGAAACATCAATGAGAGAGAATCATAGATCAGCTGCCTCTTGCACACCCCCCACTGGGGATGTGCCTGCAACCAAGGTACATGCCCTTGACCGGAATCGAACCTGAGACCTTTCAGTCCACAGGCCAACACTCTATTCACTGAGCCAAACTGGTTTCGGCTTTTTGTGTTTTTTACCTAAAGTTTTCAAATTGCCAGGAGTCCCTCGCAAACTCTCACCGCTACCACAGCCTCTTCTTTTCCTTTCACTTTAGCAAAACTCCAGTCTCTTGGGATGAATTAATTGCGGATCTTCATTTCCTTTGCTCTGTCTGTTAACCTGCATTAAGCTGGCACACACAGCCAGTTGTTGTCGACACTAGTTCAGAGCATTTCCTAAATCTGCCATTCCTTTCCTGAGTCCTCTGCGTTTACCTGAGAGTCCAACTTATTCCGTAGGATTTCTTACCCTCAGCAGTCAGTCCTCAGTGTAGTAGCAAAGCTTGGTCTTGGTGCTGATAGTGTTGATGGCTTTTTTGTTTGCTTGTTTTATCTTTTAGTTCTCACACATTTCTACTCCCTTGTTGGTGGCAGGGCCAGGTAGAAGCTGAAGTCTTCTGTTTATCCTTGTGTACTCTGTACTGCGCCACAATCCCTCTTGGTGAAATTGATCTAGCATTTTCCAGGAGCAGTCGATCTATCTTATCACTCCCTGGATAATGTTAGACTCTGGGATAGAGCTGATTACCAAGGCCTGACTTGATCATTTCTTTCGGTGATTCCATTTATTGCCTTGGGAAGGTATTTCTATGGCTTAGTATAAGTGATTGTATCATTTGAAACCACTTTGCTGTATTTAATTTAAATTTATCTTTTCACAGCTACCATTTTAGTTTTGCCTTAGTAATGATATATACAAGAAACATGCAATTTTGGTCTTTCTTTCACGATCCCACACCAAAACTGTAGAAAGGATTTCCACCAAATGGGGCAGTTATGTTTGGAATGGCCAGACTTACAATATAAGGTAGGGATGTGTGTGAAGTTCACTTTGGTGACCTCTGGTGGTAAGAGTACCCCATGTGGCTGCCAGTCTGAGGAGATAGCCCCATTTAATTAAGCACCTTGGACAGAGAAAGCTGAGTGCTGACATTTGAATCCCTGGAAAGTCTTCAGGGCAGAAACTCCATTGAGCTGCTTCTCACATGGGCAACTCTATAGAGCATCATCCTTCAGGAGAGATAGCAGGGCAGGGGATGATTTTCTTGACAAGTGCTGTGTAGACAGCTAGTAGATAACATGGAACTAATATTTTCTTCACATGATTGTGAGAACTAAATGAAACAAATGACACATAACTCCTTTGTAAACTATCAATAATTTCACATATATGTTATTTATTGGGAAGGTATATAAATATTATAAGACATTGGATCCTGGGATGAAAGGCTTGAAGTTGATCAGATGATTAAGATTTAACATCTTTATCATTTAACTTTATAGTGCTTATTATGTTTTACATATGCTAACTCATCAACTCCGTAAAGCAGGTTGATTATTATTTAGCATCTGTTTTATAAATGAGGACACTTAGGCATAAATTGATTGAGAACTTGCCCAAGGTTTTATCCAAGCAATTGAGCCGGGAATCAAACTCAGGCCACTTGGCTCCAGGGTTCATTCTATTAACCATATCACTATTCAATCTCATGACAAAGTACAGAAAGCTGTTATAGGTGCAAAAGCATGATAGATTGGGGCAGGGGATAACATGATGAGATTGGATTTAAATCAAATGGAGTGAGGTATTGTATCAAGTGGACTGAGGGAAGACTGTCAGGTGATAGGGCATGGTCTTTGGTAACGTTTGTCACCACATAACATATGCCCTTAGTAGTGATTGCTTACTTGCCTGGAACATTCTTTTACTTCTGTTATTTTAGTGGCTTAAATTCAAACTCACCAGAGGTCAGGTATTCTGCCTTCCACATGGATGGTATTTATATTTAAGGCAGGCTATTTTAAAGGTAATTCCACTAAGGTAAGGAAACTGTTTTATTTGTTTTCATTTGGGGAGATGTTATATAAGGGAGGGAGGGAGAGAAAGAAAGTCTTATATCTTAAGAACTCTAAGTCTGGTAATTTAAAATTAGAAGTATTTAGCCAGTTGGCATTAGGGAGATAGTTAATGGTTATGTGGAGCCAAATTAGACAATTTATCATGTAGTTATAACGATGAAGTGTATGAGTGTGGAGAACTACTGTATAAATGTGGGTCTCAGCAACCCTCAAAAGAGGAAAATGCTCTCAATTCTCAATTTCTCTTGGAACAGAGTCCCAGTTGTAGATAGTTCTGTGAATACATGCTGGAATGTAATTACTGAGAGTGGCACAATATTCATAAAGACTAGATTTCCATTACCTTCTTCATATAATTGGATTCCAGTTTTCATTTTTTATTCATGAAGTCGGATTTCATTCATTTGATTGTCTTCCATGAGCACAGGGCCTCTTATGGTCCTGGGATGGAGATTCCTCCCTGCACCCGCAGGATCCCCATTGACCAATCAACTTAGGTAGCTGATGTGTTGTGGTAAATTGAACACAGTGTACTGATGTGAAGATGTTGCATTTAATATTTGAATATTAAGTTTTAAAATTATAATTTACATGTTATACATACAACTCTGTACAATTATGTATTGCACATAAGCTGTAAGCTTTTTGAAATACATTCATATATTTGAAAAGTAGAAACAAATTACTTTGAAGTCTTCATTAATAACTTCTTGTTCATTAAATGCAAATACATATTATACTATACAATTTTCTTATTTTCAAAAACTATCTTGAAAATCTGCATTTTATGGTTAGGTTCTCTTGGGGCCTAAGGAAGCTAATGCCTTTTAGGGAAAAAATTATGCTAAGTTGGAAAAAATTTATACTAAGTAGGAGAAAAAATTATGCTTAGAAGTTTTATTGGGAAAACAGAGAATTTTATTATTGTGCTGTACTAAAAAGTTCTCATTTATTGGTCTTATAATAACAAGCTGAGAAAATCATTTGTTATGTACGTTAGGATTTGAAAGCCATGAATGATAAGACTCCTGAGAGAGTTACAGGAGAAAAAGTGGTCAGTCCAGTTCATTCCTAGAAAGGGTAGGCTGTCTTGAAACAGAATGAGAGAGTAAAAAGCATCTAGTGTGTATAGTTTGATCAAGTTCATGTATTTATGATGTACTAATTTGTTGTCCAACTCTTGTAATTTAAAAAGCAGAGGGAGTTTTTATGTTTAACATAAAGAATCTTCTATTTCCATAGCATATTTGCTTTGTTTGAAGCAATAAGCACACTAGCCTTCTGTTTCTTTCAAAAGCGATTTTACAGTATCTATAGTTGAGTGTGTTGGTCTAACCCTGCCCCTGCTATTGAACTACATTCCCATTCAACACAGCACATCACAGGGGAGGGGAGTGCTGACATCCTTGCAGTTGAACCTGAACAATCTCTTTGTAGTTTCATTTTTCTTTCTGAAGCATACTTTTGACCGGAGCTTGTTAAACTGTTTCAGAAGGAGAGACAGAGAGAGAGAGCTCAAGATAGAGAATGAGAAAGAGAGCTTGTCTGTATGGTTCTGTGTATCTGTGAGCACGTGTGTGTATATTATGTTTTAATCAATGAAAAATTTAGCATTTTCTTATCAGTAGTCATTATGGAAATGTAAATCAATGCCGCTTCACACCCACTAGGATGACTATGATTAAAAACTGGATAAAGACAAGTATTGTTGAAGATGAGACCTCTGACACTGTGGAGGAAATGTAAAAGAGTGCAGAAATTTGGAAAACAGTTGGGCAGTTCCGCAAAAAGTTAAGCAGAGTTAACATATAATCCAGCAATTCTACTTCTAGATATGTGCCCAAGAGAACTGAAAATAGAATCTATGGTTCTGTAAAAAACTGTTTATGAATGCTCATAACAGCACTATTCACTATAGCTGAAAAGTGGAAACAACCCAGATGTCCATTATCTGATGTATGGACAAGTCAGTGTTGTATCTCTCTATAATGAAATGTCCTTCTGTCATAAAAAGGAACTATTATATTATTAATACATGATACAACACAGATAAACATTGAAAACATGCCAAATGAAAGCAGCCAGACACAAAAGACCACATGTTGTATGATTCAGTTTATATGAAATGTTTAGAATAGGCAAATTCATAGAGACAGAAAATAGATTAGCGATTGCCAGGAACTGGGGTAGAGGGGAGAGTGGGGAGACACTGCTAATGGGAACAGGGTTTCATTTGGGGGTAATGAGAATGGTCTGGAATAGATATGGTGTTAGTTTTACAAACTTTTGAATATATCGAAAAATACTGAATTGTAGTATGATTTAATTCCATAGTATGTGATTTACATATCTCAATTTTTTTTAAAAGAAAGCGTAAGCATCTAGAAATCCAGGCATTAGCAAAGTACAGAGCCTGAGAGATAGTAGGCCTTTAATAAATACTTTGAATTGAACCAGGCCAAATGAGTTGAACAAACCTACTCTGTCCCCTATGACTTTTTAGGTAATATTGTAGATTTAAAATATATGGAACTATTATTAACTGCAATTTACCACCTGCATGAAAATAGTAGTAATGGCAATAGAAATCAATCAATTTCACATATGTAGTGATTGGCCTTTTCTAGAGTCTTAAAGAAAAACACATAATTTAAAAAAAAATCAGTGAATAACTGTCAGAGTTTTTGCACTTCTAGTGATATGGAAGGCTTTCAGAATAGCATTTTATTATTTCCATTAAGACTATCATTTCTTTCTTTCTTGTGAAACTAATTTGGTTACTATCTGATGCCAAATTGGATATATAATTTATAATGGTTATATATTCTTGCAAGTTAATGCTCTAAATTGTTCTTAAACATTTAATCTGAAAGTTGAGATATATACCTCCCTATTAAATGATAATGATGAAATATGTCCCACTTTGTAAGTAGAGTTGAAAATCACCACAATTAGTTTCTTTCTTTTTTTTTTATAGAACTCCTTTCTCTCCCCCTTGAGACACACTGGTTTCCCAAGTTATGAATTCAGTTTCTTTTGTTTGTTCCAGTCATTTAGTTTTTCTTATTACATACCTGTTAAATTTTTAATTTCTCATTAAAAGTAAATATGGATAATTTTCCTATCAATATTTCAAGAAGCCTTTCATTTTCTATCTGTCACAACTTTGGTGTGTTTTACTACATAATTAAAATGCCATTTTTAAAAATCAACTAGTACTAACAAAATAGCCTATTAATACATTTTAAATGGATCAGAGGTTAATTTCTGTAACATTGAGATAAATATTGTAAACACTGTTCTGGAACTAAAAATGGTAAGTGGAACAATATGTATAATGTTCTGGGGAAGGTTGCTACAATTGCAGGAAAAAATCTTAGAGGTAAACATCTCATAGGTATTCAGAACTTTTCAGTTCACTTATTATATAATGAAGATGTAATAAAAAAATACTAATCTTGAGTCATTGGTCAAATACTTACTAAGCACTGACTTTATGCCAGTCACTGGGCTAGGCTGTGGGTATTCAGCAGTCATCCAAATGGATAAGACAGTTCTGCCCTTGGCTATTTATGCTGTAATCCTGGAGCTCCTGGTATGGGAGCCCGCATGTGTCTGGAGCATGGTGATGGAGGCAGAGACCAGTGTGAGATGAGACCAGAGAAGTGGGCAGGGCACTAGTAAGCACAAGTGTTTAGTTATGGTGAAGAGTTTGGTCTTCATTCCAACTGTAATATAATACTGAAGGCTTACTGCAGGGGAATCCAACTCTAGTTTTGTGCATATTTCTCTGAGCAGCAGTAGAATATGGTTATGGTTGGTAGGTATAAAAGGAGAAGCAAGGAATCCTGCTAGGGAATTGGTTATAATGCAGGCTTAGACTACAGTAGTGACCCTCGAGTTAGAAGCGCCTAGATAGGTAACAAACCAGAAGAATTAAATGAGCCTTATATGGATGGGTGTTTGAGATAGTGAGGTGATGAGGGCCAAGGATGTGTATAAAGGGTGTTTTCTACATCACTGTCTTGGACTGGTTGCCTGGGGGTTCCATGACCTGAGATGGTGAGCAGGATGGAAGGACAGACTTGGAAGGGATGACTTCCTGTTGTTTTGGGCATGTTTAGTGTTTGGGGGGGGGGGGGTGTTTCTGAGGTGGGATATACAGAGACTAGCCTGCTTTTTTCCTTGAGATGCAGTGACTAGTTTATGGTCTGGATACAAATTAGAATAAAAAAATCTCTTCCCAAACTGAACACAATTATACCAGTTTCCAGCTCATAGATAAATTGCTATAACCGAGCATGCCTCTGTGGTTTCTCTTATAACTCAGCACTGTAAAATCTCTGTTTATTTGATGGGGGTTGGGGGGGGGGGGAGACAAAGCAATATTCACTTAATTGTCAACACTCGCTTACTTTAATCTGTTGTCTTTGTCTTTGGTGTTCCTAGCCCACAAGGTCAAGTTAAAGATTTGGTCTGCACCAGTTGGGTTTTCTGTTACCTTGTCACCAGCTGTATCCTTCACATTGGGTGGCTGACTTAATAACCTACTAAGAGAGCTGGTATGAAATGGTGCCAATTAATCTTTACTACCTAAAACTCAGAATTAGGTTCTACCTACACTGATACTCTAGTGGCCTCTATGAAAGCGGGGTCCAACATATTGTCCCCTTCTCACATTGACTGGGGTTATATCTGCCTTTGTAGTACGTACATATTTATTGCGAATATGAACCACATTATTTTATTCATCTTCTGATTTTCTACAGCCAGAATTTTTGTTTCCTTCAAGTAGAGATGGGCCATTTAGGGGCTAAGGTTGTGTTTTGTTCTTTGCTGAGCCTCTAGTGACTGGCATGCATTCAGCACCCGATATTTATTAAATAAATGAGTGATGGAAGGAATGCTGAGTAGTCATTCTGTGTGAAGAGGGTCAGTTTAGTTTCCAGAAACCGAAGATCAGGCAGACTATATACTTCCTATAAGATTATGTCCTTGGAACCTACTGAGAAATCAAGGCTGAAAAAATATAAATGTGGGAATCATTCTAATGGAAAGAATGATAGAAACCATGAGAGTGGAATTTCATGAGTGTGTGAAAAGAGTAAGGATAGGCGGGAAGTGAAATCAGAGGAGGGTGAAGGTGGGGAAAGCACAGTGTCCTGGGAAGCAGGAGCCTTCAGCAGTAGAGCTGAGAGGTGAGGGGGGAGGCGGACAGAAAGGGACCTTTAGTTTTGGGCAGAAGTAAAGCGAATGAATGTAATGGAAACATTTTATCCTTTTCTTCATACTTTTCATCACTAACAATTCCAATCAAGGAGAACTTTCTCTTAAGCAAAGACATAATTAGTTTTTATTTTCTGCTGTTCACGGCCTGGCCTCCATAGTACACTGCTTGTACTGATTCTGAAGGGTTTGTTTGTTACTTGATGATCAAGGCCGTGTTTTTTCATTGCTCGGATGACAGGTAATCATTTGGGAGAATTGTGAGAAAGTCACAGTAGTTGAAGAAGAAAATCATCCTGAAGGCCAATGTGAAAAATAGAGATCATTTCTCCAAAATTATTTGGGAGCTTTTCAGTTGAAATTTTATTAAATTCAATAGTTCATGAGAGTGCTACAAATCGGTAATAAGAAGCCCATGCAATAAAGAAACTTGGGTTGTGCTAATAATGAGGATATGCACACACATAGGCACATAGTTTTTTTCTTGGGCATTTCTTTTGAGGGTGATGTTGACAAGATGGGGAGTACAATACATTTGAGCCCTATCAGGATGCTTCCATTTGCAAAGGATTTTTCACCTAAGCGAGGTTATCCTTTCATATGAAAAAGTAGCTACCATTTATTCAGCACCTACTTTGCTCCAGACATGTTACAGTCATTCTGGGAAAGAGGTGTTATTCCTAACTGAAAGTGAAGAAATGGAAGTTGAGAGGGTTAAGTTCTTTGCCCTAGGTCACAGGATTAGTACATAGGAGAATCCTGCCCTTTTTTGCTCCAAAGCCTGTGTATGTTCCAACATGCCCTCTGAATGAGTCTTTAGTGCATCAGAGTGCCTTTCCTATTTGGGTGGAAGCCAAGAAGGCTCCACAGGGATAACAGACCCCCCTTCCCTCCATTGAGCACTTTTTCAGAGTCCTGTCTCCTAATCTGCCTACTGACCCATATCTGCATTTATTGATGACATAAATGTCATAACGAACAAGGCTCTTCCCTTTAAGGACTTGGTGTTTGTTTGTTTACCTCTTGCATCATTAGTCTGTGACTCTTTCTTCCCAAGCTTCTTCCCATGAGCATAAGTCAGTCCTTCACCAAAACAATTGTATTCCGTCTAGGTCAGTAATTGCTGTGTTAACTAATCACTCCAAAACTCCGTGAAGTAAAGTATATTGTTTATGTGGCTCACCGTTCTATGGGTCAGCACGTTAGTCTGGGCTCAGCTGAACTCACCCATTTTGTGGGAAGCTGCTAGTCACCTAGACAGCCTTGCTTCTGGGCATTAGCTGGTTGGTGGCTGTGGCCACCAGGGTGGCTGGCCATCTTGGACTTGTCCACGTGTGTGGGAGGATTTCAAGAGAGAGCAGAAGCCTGCAGATCATCTTGAGGCCTCAGTTCCTTTGCATCCTGTCAGCTGAAGCCAGTCACAAGGTCAGCCAGGATCTCAGTGCAGAAGCAGACTGCTGGACCCTGGCACTCCTCTGTGTCACTAATTCCTGCCCACACTTGAGACCAGAGGCGCATCACTGCCTTGGGCTGAAGCATGTGCCTCAGTTCTCTCTGTCACTGTGTTTAGAACATTGTGTGGCACTTGTCAATTCACTCACTTCTTAGTAGAATTGTGAGCTCCTTAAAAACAAACAGTGTTGCAAACCAGGATTTAGCTCCTAATAGGTAACGATTAAAAGCTGAAGTTTCTGTGAAAATAAAGTATTCCAGGAATTTTAAAACTGGCTTGTGGATATTTAAACACGTTGGAGCAGACTCTATGTAAAATATCAAAATTGAATATTTCTTTGAGAACGTGAAGGGGGTGAAGAATCCTTATCAGCATTGTGAGTAGAAATCATTATTAAATATTTATGTACTATCTTTGTAGGTTCTTTTTTAACTAGGTTACAAGTTTGCTCAAAAGGAAGCGAAGTCATATTTTCACAGCATATTTATCAGAGAAAGCATACCCACCTATTAACTGGTATACTTTTATCCCATTGGGATTTGGGATAAAAGTCTCTATTTTAAAATGTGATATGTAGGAAGGACATCATCCAATGTCTAGATGTTACTCTAGAAGACACTGAAATGAATGCTATTGGTAGATGAGAGATGTGGGACGCAATGGAAGCTCATCTTTAAGTGAGTAGTATGTATTGCATTTATTCTTCATTGATGGATGTTCATGTGCATTTTATTTTTTGTTACAGGTTCAGCTGCCTGTACACCTCCCTGAATCCTACATATTCCTCTCACTGAGTTGGCATCTAACCATGCAGCGGAGACCAAGAGGACTGAATGCTGGGCTTATGCTGCTCCTTTCTCAAATCTTTCATGTCGGCATCAATAATATTCCACCTGTCACTCTGGCTACTTTGGCTGTCAACATCTGGTTCTTCCTGAGTCCTCTGAAGCCACTGTATAGCTCCTGCCTCAGCGTGGAGAAGTGTTACCTAGAGAAAGACTGGCAGCGCTTGCTGCTCTCCCCCTTTCACCACGCGGATGACTGGCACCTGTATTTCAATATGGTGTCCATGCTATGGAAAGGAATACATCTGGAAAGAAGACTAGGAAGCCGATGGTTTGCCTATGTTATCACCACGTTCTCCCTACTCACTGGCGTGGTGTACCTCTTCTTGGAATTTGCTCTTGCAGAGTGTATGGGTGAGCCCAGCTTCAAAAGGAGTTGTGCTGTAGGTTTCTCAGGTAAGGCTGATAAGTTTCTAGGGGAGCATGCATAGAGGCAGTAAGGGAGGTGGGCTGCTGTCTTTTATGAAGCATGGGGCCATAGGTGATGAAGGAATCAAATTTTGAGTGAGTAAGGGCCGCCAGAGGGTGCACTTTGGAGAGGGGGCTGATTGGACCACAGGAGGGACATAGGTTTGGCTCTGCATCATTTACTCGTGGACAGTTTGGACTACAGTGTGTGCAAAGGCAGTTTTGTAGGAGACACAGTACTGGAAATCTGCACTAGCTCCATGATGGTGGGACCAGGGAGAGACCCACAGGTGTATTTGTGATGGGGAGTTCTGTAAAAAGATGAGTATGCCTCTTAATAACTTCATTAAAATAAATGCATCATGCTTACCATGGCATGCTCACTGTGTTTTAGGTATTAACATGGTGAGCATGCCATGCTACTATATGTTAATATTAACATATATTAATATATGTTAATGTTAACAAATATATTAACATATATTTAATACAATATTAAATATAACTCACTATTTAATATTCGTATAACAGGTTCATAGGGAGCTGGCATTGTCTTGGTTTCATAGATGGGGAAGCTAAGACTCAGAGAAGTAAAGAAACTTGCTTGAGGTTACACACCTAGTAGCTAGGAAGCTGAGGTTTGAACTCATGCTGCATGGCTTTATCCATGTGTTGCATTTCCTCTCCCTTTAACCTTTACTGTTTTTTGTTTTTATATATATGTCATAGGACTGAAATTGCCATCAGGGCGTAAATTAGGTGTTCTAAAAATGAGAAAGTGAAGGGAAGGAAGGAAATGATCCTGAAACAGAAGGAAATTAACCCTTCCCTGTATTTCCCCTGCTGTTGCTCCCCCTCCCTCCAAGATGCACCCTCTTGCATCTAATTGTGGGAGAAGAAAGAAAATATGTCCTTCCTTCAACCTCTTTCCATTGAGATTAGAAAAATATTTGTGACTTAACATACTTTTTCCTATTGAGTTAAAATTCACATGGCATAAAATTAATGATTTTGAAGTGTACATTTCAGTGGCATTTAGTGCCATTGCTAGTGTTTTATCTTCATTTTATGTGTTATGTATTTAGTAGCATACAGAAAAGTCAGTATTAACTTCTGTGTTAAGAAACATCACAAGAATTATTACTTTGTACACTGTCTTTCTACTGAGCACTGGGTTGATTTGTAAGGAGTTGAAGTATGTTTCAAAGCAAAAAGTTGATGTAGTGGAATAACCATTTTCACTTTCAGCTAGTTTTCTTTGTAAATGCTGATCATCTCTGCATTTGGATTGCTCATATTTGTATGCTCTTTCTTCTCTTTTAGGAGTTTTGTTTGCTTTGAAAGTTCTTAACAACCATTATTGCCCTGGAGGCTTTGTCACCGTTTTGGGCTTTCCTGTACCCAACAAATTTGCTTGTTGGGCAGAACTTGTGGCTATTCACTTAATCTCTCCAGGGTAAGTATTTATTTACTCCTAGAAAATACAAATGAAGAACCTCATGTTCCATGGGAAAGGAATTAGAATAATAAGGTAACTAATTGCTCAGTGAAGTTTATTCTGTAACTATAAGAATTGAATCAGTATCAAGCATTCCTAAGTTTGAATACTGAGCTATGTGATTTTGGTATACTTGGAATTATCTGAGTTTTGATTTCCTCACCTTTTATGTAGGAGCTAGAGGCCTGGTGCACAAAATTCCTGCATGGATAGGGTCCATAGGCCTGGCTGGCAAGCAGGGCCAATTGAGGCCTTCCAACTGCCAGCTGGGGCCTTCCTTCTGGCTGCCGGCTGGGGCCTTCTTTCCCTAGCTGCCTGCTGTCGGCTGCCCACTGGGGTCTTCCTTCATTTCGTGCTACCCACTTGTGGTCAGTGCATGTCATAGTGAATGATCCAACTTCTGGTCTCATGGTTGAACTTCCGATCTTATGGTCAAACTCCTGAGGGGACACTGCATATTAGCCTCTTATACATAAATAGATAATTGAACCTTATATACAGATTTGAGGGTTGACATTAACCAGTCTTTCAATCCAGTAACTCTAACAACAGAAATCCAAAGAGGCACATAGAAACCACATAACTATTGCAATATAAGATTGAAAAACAACAATAAGATATGTTGGTTCAATGCTTTTATACCATTTTAGTTGTAAATTGTCTAGGTAATAAACTCTTGTGGACCAAAAGCAGCTACATGCTAACCAGCTCAGAGAAGGCCTGCATGGCAACCTTGCAAACTCAGAGACTTATAGTAACCACAAAGGATGCTCTGAAATTTAAACTTTTTAACTAGAAGCAGTTTATAGCAGGCACTCATGTCCTAGGCTAGAATCTTCCCTGACAAAAGTTAAGTACCTTAACCAACCTTTCTATTGTCTTTTTTTTTTTTCTTCTGTCTATTGTCTTTTGCATCTACCATAATATTTCTTCACAATGTTAGGGTAACTCCTCTTTCTCCAGACCTCTCAGGGCACAACCAGTGCACCAGAGTGAAGACATTAAATCCTCTCATTGTCACTGTTATCACGTTAATTGTTGACTATTTAGGATCCCCATAACCACCTATGTAAAAGGTGTATGTTTCTGTCATTTTACTTTTCATCCAAAAACAGATGTTTCCCTGTATTGCTTTCTCCCACCTCCCTAATCTATCACCAATGGATTTCTTATAACCATTTGTATCTTCTTTTTAAATTGTATTATATAAAATAAGATGCAAAACTGCCATTTTCAGGAGCATTATCTCAGTCCCTTGAGATTTTGTTTCTGATAATTGTCCACTGTTTGGCTCAAACTCACAAAAAAAAAATCACCCCAAGTTTAAATGTTTCTTACCTTGATACTCTTTAAACAGAAGTCTTTACTCACAAACTTGACATATAAAATGGATCAACTTTTCACTCTTTGGGGTTGAGAGGAAGCAAGAGAGTCCATTCCTTTTTGCCTTACCCCTGTGTCACTGTGGCTGCCTCAAAAGCACCTCCAGAGAACCCCAGGGTTCTAAGGAACACAGTTTGAGAACCACTCAAGTCTCTGAATGCTTTACTGATAAGGACAAGGACATTCAGGAAGTTAAGGGACCCATCAAAGGATTCTTGGTAGACTCCAGGACTAGTTAGGATCCAGGCCTCCTGACTGCTGGTCCCCTGCTTCTGCCTGGGGTACTGGGCTTTTCCACTTGAGTCCCTTTCGCTGCTTTCTGTGTAGACAAAAAAAAGGGGGGGGGGGCGCGGTGAATTGTCCTATTTTTCCACTTCTTCCACCAGTTTCATTTCTCTTCATCTGGTAATGCAGCTGGAAACCCATGGTTGGTTTGTTGACTTTTACTCTGGGAACCTGGGCACTGTTTGGAGAATGGGCATATTTAGGAAGCTTCAGAAAGAAGTAAGGAGGATTTTTTTTCTCTCTGCTGTTCCTTTCAGAGAGCAGAGTTGTTTTTCATTTGCTTTTTGTTTGTATGCCTATATGGAGTGTCCTCCTTCATTTGAGAATATTCTCCTTGGGATGTATGTGAGCCCAGTAGCCCTGAGTCCTTCTTTAATACTAATTTCCATGCTAGCCAGCTGGCCTGTAAAAAGGCAGTGCGTGGCCACTGAGCACCACTCATTTGCAACTGTATTGTTATTTTGTGACAGTTCCTGGAAGAAAGCCTTACAAAATCTTCAAAATTTTCTTTGAAAAAATGGGTCCTGTAATGTCTGCCCCTTATCTGAACAACCCTCTCTCCACCTTGTCACTCACAGCTCCCTTACTCGCTTGATGTGATTTGCTTCTCTGTGTAGTCCAGAGACTTGTCTGTGACAGCAACACCCAACGTTCATATGAAAATCACTCCCAGTGGTGCTGGAACTTTTATTCTATAATGAACCCTTTGAATAGCAGTGCCTTTAATATGCTCATTCAGCTATTTCTGAAGACTCTCACCACGCATTTTATTTTTATTTTTTTAGTGTCCCTTTCTTACGTGGACAAGGCATAGTTGTATTTTTATATAATATGCCTATTCTGGGTGGAGGAACCTGGAAATTAAATGAGATTTCTTATCTTTAAGGTTTGAAAGAATAAATCTTTTGGTTTTTAAGATTTGACTACTTTGAATGATAAACTTCTGATAGCACATCTACTTATGCATACATCCCAAATAAAGACTGAGCTAAACACTGGTCCAGGAAACCTGAGAAGCAAGTGCTTCTTTGAGATGGATCTTGGAAAAGTGGGAGAAACCAGAGCTCTTTGCTCTGCATTATTCTTCTCCTGGTGGTTGTCAATTATAATTTTCATTGGGAAAACACTGTAAATCTTCAGGACAAAGCCTGCTTTATTGTTGGACTTAATGAACTGCCCTTGGGGAGGGAAAAAAAACAATCTGCCAAGCAAACATTTGGTAGACCTCTGAATTTTATGAAAGCCATAGAATTAGTAATGTCCCCTAGTTTTATGGCGGGAAGCCTCTCCAAACAGCCAGCCATTAGGCATTGTGAGGGGTGTGGACTTGACCAGCATGTTGAAGTACCCGCACTCAGTCCTTTGGGAGTGCTTTTGCTTTTCACCGTACTTGTGTGTGCTTTGTTTCAGATATTGCACTGCCTCACATGGTCTTTTCATTCCCCTGCTTGTCCTGGGACCCTAGAAGGGGAATGTGTCTGACGTAGTGCCTCTGCTCATGAGTGGCACAGGAGGGCAGTGTGCGTGCTGCCTCCTCCCAGGTGTGGCTGTGCCCCTGCTCACCTATATCCCCAGTCACCTTCTGTTGATGGAAAGAAGGGGGATCTGATGCCACATGTTACTTTCTAGCCCCCAATACTAGCCCAAATTATGAACCTCTGCAGTTTCCCTACGAGTTTAAGGTTGTCCTGTCTGAAAACTGAAGCTCAGAGCCATGAAGGTTATCCAGAGTAAGACAGCCACTTGGTGACCATGCTAGGGGATTGTAGTCAGTCACCCTCCTCCTTAACGTTTGGGAATATCGATCATGGCCCTTGTCTGAATTGGTTATTTCATGGTGAATCCTGAAGGATGACTCCCTGATTCTATCATTCCTTCTACCTTTACTATATGAGGTTAATCTGGGCTTGGAAGTTCATAGCCAAAGGCAAAGAATTGAGGAAGGTGAGTGTTCTGTTAAAGGCAGATCTTAGTTTTACAGGCTTGAAGCTTATTCAATTTTATGGGTCCTCCTTAAGAAGGAACTACAAAATTAGAAACAAAAAAAGTAAAAATGTTAAGAAAAGCAAGCACCACAATTGACAAATTTTTAAGAGCTGACAAATACTATAAACATTACAGAAACCATAAAAGTAATCTTAGGTTAACTCCCACAGGTTTTGCTTGCATACTGTGATCTCTTCATCATATGATATTAATTTGGTAATAGTGTTTCTGTAGAGGGAGTAGTATGGAGCATCAGAGTCAGTTTTTATTATTATTGAGAATTTAGAAAAGTTTTCTTAACTCATCTAAATTTTTAGAATTCTTGACAGATTTGGGGAAACTTCTATCAAGATATTTTTACATATAAGCTGTAAAATCTCAGGACTTTTCAAGTTTTCTTGTTCAGCTTTCTTTTCAAGTTTCTTGAGTGTTCTTTGAATTGATTTGAATGTCATCTGCTATTTTTTTTAATATGTTTTTGTTTTTTATTGATTTCAGAGATAGGAAGAGATAGAAACATTAATGATGAGAGAGAACCATTGATTGGCTGCCTCCTACTGAGGATCGAGTCCATAAACCAGGGTTGTGCCCTTACCAGGAATTGAACCATGACTCCTGGGTCATGGGTCAGTGCTAACCATTGAGCAACATCAGCCAGGCTTGTCAATGATCTTTATTGGTATGGTTCGAGATTTATGTTTTTTTCATGGACATCAATGCTTTGTGCTGTGTCAACAAGAAATATTAATATTAATATTCTTATGATTCACTCTTCATTAACTGGGTTATCGATATCCAAGAATTTATTACAACTTTTGATATAATTTAAAATTATTTTTGTTTTATAGTACAAACACAGGGATTCTAATAAAGTTTATTTTCTGTGATTCTCAAAAAAAAAAAAAATGAAAGGTGATGGTGCATTTAGAATTCCATGCACTGCATTATCCCCAACAGAGAACTTCTGCTGAATTTCTGTTGGAACTATGTAGTAATGGGAACTGAATCCTCCATTTACAGTTTTGCCTGCTTGGTGATTGGAAGAATTTTCCAGACTGTGGGTTCTGACTTTAGCATGATGGCTGGTCACCCGAGAGAGCGATGGATTTCTACTGCTGTGCCGCCATTAAAATTGTAGCCTAGGATGCACAGAAGGTATTAAGATTATTTCTGGAAGCTGTTTCTATTCAGCAGTGACTAACAGTGACCTAACCTTGCAAGGAGATGACTGTGAACCACATAAGTAAGCCCCACTGAACTTGAGCTTTATGTGTCTTCAATTTGGCTTCCCTCTAGTTGAATCC